TCTCAGTGTTTAGTGATCTCCTTAAATGGTCTCATACTGCATAGTGCTGATGATTTGTTTAGGGCTGAGGTACAGCATGAGCATTTTTAAGGGGGATCATGTCATAAGGAATACAATTTTCCTTGATTTCCTTGACATTTCAGAACTCAAAACATCCTCCCTAGTGCAAAAAGGGCTTTTATAGAAACCAAGGCCACAAACACACTCGTTTTCTAATGCAGCTTTGTGACATCACACGATTTAAAGCGTCTGCATGTAGCTTTGTGTATTTTTGAGACTGAGTTTAAAAAAAACTTCATTCTGTTTTGGTTTATCAGTGGAAGATAAGAAACCACACAAACCTTTAGTAAATTAAGAAACATCATGTTTAGTCAAAAGCTAGTGACAAATTTGTAAGAATGCAATTCACCCTGGTGCCAGTGGTCTAATATAACATCTCTCATTATTACTCAAGCACTTTGGTGCACTCTTAAGGGCAATACATAAAAGGGATTTAGAATGTTGTATGGCTCAATAAATCAAAAGAATAAAAAAGTCACAGACATTAAGAAATGTAATGTCTGGTTGACATGAAACAATTACATTTTAGGATAGACCTGTCCACAGAGATGGCAAACTGACTAGATCTCATATCAGATTTTGTCTGAACATTTCTGCACAGATGTGCTGTTTTTAACAATCTCTTCTATCTCTCTCTCTGCTTTTTAAATCTAAAATCTGATTGGTTTTTTTTTGTGTGTTTTGTTGGCAGGTGATATAAAACAATGTTATTCTCTGTTCTTAAAACATGCTCTAATATTCAGCTCTTGAGCTTCTTCTACTGTATATGTAAATGCATATAAAATTCATCATGTTAACAATTTCTGGAAGACAAATGCATCCCTTTGTGTTTACTGCTCTGCACTTCAATGCGATTAGCATTACTTTTTTGGTATTGAGTCATGAGTATTATCCTTCACTTTTAAAATGAATTTTTATTTCTTTAGTTCCTTGGATACTTGTGAATGTAATATAAAGCTTGCTGTTTTTCTTTGACAGGATAATAAAATTTTGATGTTTTTTGTACAGACATCATGCAATGTCAGGTATTGGTTATGCTATTGATTTCTTGTGCACCTCACTCCACAGAATAATGATGGGATCTTGGATCAATCTTTATGAATTTCTGTGCACTAATTTATTGTACACATGAGAAAGAATGAGAAATGAGGACAAAATGGGAGACTTTGGAATAAAAGCACTGACAGGCAGAAAATAAATAATATAAAACATTTGAGAAAGATAAACTTGACTTTTTTTGACTATCATGCACTAAAGTGTAATTTTGACGATATCTTTCAACATCAGAGTGAAACCTATCAAAATCCATTCACAGGTCCAACAACAACAACTGCTGTTGCCCTAAAAGACCCAACAGGTCCCTAGGGTCCTGAACTGCCAGCTCTAGGGAACCAGGGACAGTGCCTCCAACAGGATAAAGACTTTACCAGGCTCAAACTGGGTCCCCAGGCTAGACCGCAGGGTCCCGATTCCTGAACTCCTCATTCAAGACAAGACAAATGGCGTTAAGGTATGTGTAACTGAATGATAGTTAAAAATACCAAAGAAAGTTACTGCAAAGATATTTTAATCAACAGTGGAGTAATTATTCCACAAATCAATTCTACCTTTGAATTATTGCTTCTTGGTTGATACAGTTTGTTATATTTTCAAAAATTAATTCTATCCTCATTCCATCTTTTTTGGCCAACTTACCAGTACATTTTCTGTTAAGTTTACGGACTTTTCCTTCAACCTTAAAACACTACACAATGCAATGCATGGTTTAAAATACAAGTGAAACACCTGTAAAAAATCAGTATAGAAAATTCCTTACATTGGGCTGTAGTACATTACATCCCTAGTACACTGGGCTGTCTTTTACTGACTTTTCTTAGTGTACTTTCTGAAAAAAAAATCCTCATTCTTACGTAATACAGTATATTGTAAATCGGGAGAAGATGCCTTACCTGGGTAGTGGTGTTCCAAGTGCAGACTGTTTCTGTTGGCCTCATTTTAAAAGCTCTTTCTGTATAAAATTACCTGAAGCAAGCAAAATTAAGAAGGATTTCTTAAAGTGAATGACCTGAAGGCTACCTTTATGCCAAAGGAGATTACTTTGACTTCATGAAAATATTTAAATGTACTTTTGGAGGAAGCACAATTTGCTCTTAATTTTTTTTTTCCTTTAATGAATCATTTCAGATGACTTGTTCCCCTTCAGTTTCATGTTCTAATAGGCAAGAAAATTCTTAATAAATGTATTTTTGTAATTTGCTTATGTGCTTGGGAAAACATGGCTCAAGTGGTCTGGTTGTACACTGTTATCAAGTTCTATTATCTAACCCCCCACTCACTTAACTTCTGAGACATCATATAAAATGGCTTTTATCTTGTACAGGTAATAATGTCAACAATGAAACAGACTCTTTGGTGGTGCATCTTCTTACGCTGCAGTATATTAGAATTTATCCAAAAGAATGTTGTGCAGTTGTAAAGTTAGTGAGCTGTTATGCCCCAGAAGCACTGAAAATGAAAAATTAAAGAAAAGAGATTCTGTTATTCCATTTCTTAGGCTTATTCCAAAATTGACAACATATTTGGCTTAAGTAAACGCAAAATCTTTTTGTGTTGAAGCATTTATTTGGAGGAGGTCATGAATGGATTTCTTCTGGCTTTCAGAAACACATGCTCTTGCTCAGCGGAGCGCCAGAGCAACATTGATGAGCACACACTCGCCATAGCAACTCGACCAATCACTGAGGACCTCCCAAAGAGTCTTGATGACATTTTGTCTGGTAAACAAGGCCTTTGAGTTTTTAACCCACCTCAAAACATCCCTCGAGGTGATGTTTCCCCAAATGTTCAATTTTCAGCCAGGCCATCTTATCACAGTCTTCAACGGGAACTGCGTCATGTTTTGGAAGTCGAATTGACTGAGTCAGCGTGTTCAGTAAATTAAGTCATCATAGATTTTCCAATACTCATCTTCTGCATGGAGGGATGGACAGCTTGAATATCGAAGGTCCTCAGCTTTCAGGCTTCATTTTAGGAGTGGGAACCCAGGGAGAAGCCAAATTGCTAACATGATCTACATGCATAGAAGCACAGTGGAGGTTAATTGTTATTTCCTCCTGAGGATGTTTACCAATATCTTCAATGTTTTCCTTTTCCATCTGGTCCATCTGGTTCCAGGATTTTGCGGTTTAATGGAAAAGCTGAGTGGGAACATCATCATCTCAGTGTCAGTGTTTTTACTCTGATATGTTAGCCAAATGTTTGAAGTAACAAAGTATTAAATAATATAGCAAACAGATGGCACTTTCCATTTGCATTCTTTTGTTTTAGCATCACCTTGGTCAAAATAATCCACACTAAAGATGTCCTAGAGGGAGAATTACACACCACTAATAAAGCGTTTATACGGTAAACAAATGGCTGGTGCACTGCAGAGTTGTAGAACATCAAGTGCTTTGCACATCCTACAGTAATTATGGACACCATCATGATGCATACCACTCTCAATGCATTTTGCACATGCATAATTCAAGTGGGACTGGAGAAAGCTTATGTAGATTGCTGAAGTGAAGCGAGTAAATAATTCAGAAATGGGTCCAATAACAAAAACAAGGTTCAAACACACACTGAAACCATATACAAACTGCAGCCAAAGATTTGGACTGCATCCAGGGCTTTGAAGCAAAATAAGGGTATATTACAGAGTTGGACCTTGTGAAACGCAAGCTTTCCTGAGTTTGAAAGGAGCTCTGCAGATGTGCCGATTAGCTCTCATGAAAACCAAAGGGAATCGCTCCAGTGAGCACTTGACAACAGCTTCAATCAACACGCATTTCGATTCTGAGTGAGACTTAAGTGTAAGAACTAAATGTACCTTAACTAGCACGTGTGTAGTGTAAAATATAAGGGTAGGGAGGCAGAATATGTAAATAACCTCTTATATATTCACTTAGGTAGTGGTTCTCAACAAAGAAGACTACTAGAAGGCTGCAAGTATTTCAAAGCCATTTTAAAATGATCTTTCAAAATAATTCATAATAAACTTGACGATAATCTTTGCACAGTAGTTCTTAATTTAAGTCCTGTTTTTCTGGTCATTAAGAGCAGAGAGATGAAAGCTGTGTTTCTTGTATATTAAATACATTTACAACACTTTGTTTTAACAAAACACCCCATTTTCTCATAGTTTACTCCGTGTCCACTCTCGACCTCAATGCAGAAATTTGGTCGTGTGTTTCTTTTTGCTGGTCCTACTGTGCAGACAAATCTGCCCAGCAAAATGGACAAAATGTCCTCTCAACATTTTAATTCAAGAACACAAAGTTCTTGAGACTTATTTATTGACAAAATGTTCAAATGTTTTGCTTTTCTCAGATTTTTTTAATGTTACAATTTCACACAAATATTGTATGAGCTGTACTGATAATATAGCATTTATTTCACTAAAGATAACCTGGTGTTCAAAAATGTGCCAAAAACAATCAGAAATTAAACCAGAGTTCCAATGAAATGTAAAAGAAATGCTTATCTGGTTTTCTGTGGCTTGTGTGTGCAGTGATTTTCTGCTTCATGAATTCAATTAATGTAAGCATTTGTTCCCTTCTGTCTGAAAGACTGTCATTAGAGTAGCGCAATCCATTCTGCAGATGTGTTCAATAGACTCTTTTGTCAGGGCACACCAGTCTAATACATGTGCTTAAAAATCAAAGTTTAATGCTTTATTTTAAGCAGATATATTATTATCATCATTATTATTATTAATAATAATATCATTATCCCTACAAATACATCCCGGCACTTTGAAAAATGTTTTCTTTCTTTTTGTCTTTGTTAAAACAAGAAGGCTAAAAATATCCTATGGTGAAAAAATAAAGCAAACGACAAACGATTTAAACATTGAGAAAAAGAGAAAATCACAAAAAGACACAAATAAAACTATATAACAAAATCGAAAAAAAGAAATTCTACATCCTTTACAAACACTATGGCCCAATAATTTAAGAAAATAGTGTCTCTGAAACGTTCATATTGCTTTATACCTTCATCAGTGCCCTTCAGGGAGTTCAGCAATACAGTGCTGTGAACGGCCAGAAGGGGATGCCCTCCCCCAGGCTCTGCACTCACCTCCACAAGGAGGTATCTTTGAGGAGAGAGAGTCTAGTTATCAGCTTGTTTAATCCTCAGCAAAATGTCTTTTTATGTTCTTTTGGCAGTAGAGAAAAAAAACAAAACAAGGTATAGTTACTATTCCTCATGATCATGGAGTATTCACCATTGTTGCATTTAGCATTATTACTCTCTAAGATATTATTACTATTACTATCACCATCACGGATACACAGAGTGCATCGTGTGTCATGTGCGTGCGTGTGTGTGTGAACGTGTAAGTCAAGTGTTCAGTGCTCAGAGCTTGTTTTCTCAAAAGAGAAGCTAGGCAGAGTCAATAGCTTGGAGTTTGGGACGCCCTCTTGAGGCAGCCCATCTCCTCCTCCACCCAAATCAAATGAGTCCTTGGAGTCACTGGAGGGAGCACGTCTCCTCAAGCAAGTGTCCCGAATTGGCAACGGGGGTGGCACCATCCCCAGAGCAGCATGAAAGCCTCCCGGAAGCTCCGAAACCTCGGGCGGATCCACAGAGATGCACGGCGGACTCATCTTCTTCTTGCGGGCACGTGGTGAGGACTGCTGCTGAAGGCTATCGGCTCGTGAGACGAAGCCGGAGGAGCTCGAACTGCACTGGGGGCTGCTTTCCACGGACGAGTACACCTCGATGGAGTGCCGACGTGGGTCGTCAAGCCAGGACAAGGGCCGTGGTAACAGCAGAGCTCGCTGGCCCTGAGTGTCCACGCTGTGGTACTTCTTAAGCTGACGTCTTGCACCTTGATCTCCTGTCCCTTCTCCGATCCCATCGTCGCTCCTCCCTGCAAGCCCCGCTCGGATAATTCGGGATACCTCCTGATCCACCGAGTCCGTTTCCTCCTGCTTCCTGGCGGCTGGAGATGGGAGGGGCGGAGAGCGGGAACGCCTGGAGAACACGTTGTACTGGTCGTAGGGGTTGTGCTGTGTGTGGACGCTAGGTCGCGACGGTTTTGGGGAGGCGCCTGGTGTGGCAGGGACCAGAAAGAGGGAAGGCTGGTGCTGCTGCTGAGGTGGAAGGTTGACAGGGGGGTCCGACAGTTCCCTGAGCCCCAGGGGACCCTCGTTTTCCCCTCCCTCTGTGTATAGAGTCTCCTGAGAGTCAGCACTCACTGCCACCTGAAGAGAGCAGGGACAGGAGGAGGTGAGGGGAAGGTAAGGGGTAACATTAGGGATTAGGACATGAACAGGTGAGAGGGAGACTGGTTAGTATGAGATGTTAGGGGTGTAGAAGCCAGTGGAAGGGGAGGGGAGCCGTGGAGTTAGAGTGGAGTTCACCATTAGCATTGCACTCCACAAGCTCTCTGCTTCAAAGGATTGGAGGTGAAATTAGAAAAATAGAGAGACTGCCTCAGGGCATCTGTTTTGAATGCATTCATTGCCCCAATCAGAGGTAGCCAACATTTAGAATCTGATGTTGGTGTTCTTCTTTTTTAAAAGTTTGTATCAAACTTGAAAGTATCAAATGAAGTAAATCGCCACAAAATGTACCAAAACGTCCCGGCCACACATTAAACCTTTAACTGACAAAAATAGTGCTTAAATTGTGCTAGAAATTTCAATAAAACTTGCGTAATAGCAGTTACACATTCTGAAGTAACATTCTTAATACAACAACCAGTTAACCACCAGTTGAAAACATTCTTAGACCTTTCTGTCTCATGGGCGGTCCTAGAGATGGGCTTCCAGGGCCTATGTCCCAATTGTTTTTGAGTTTTGTGTTGAGCAAATTGAGCAATTGAGTTTTAATGTCAGGTCTCTAGTCATCTGCTCTATAAATCAGACATAATGAAGAAACTAGAGGATCTATTGACTTTTTGGTAAGAGTTGCACTCCATCCAGATGCAATAAGCACCAACTATTTTACAGACAGAACGGAATATACTTTTGTACTCAAGCCTGACCATTTGCAGCTCTTGGAAAACTCTTTTATAAAGACCATGACCAAGGCCATGAACTTCACAAACTTTGGTAATGCAACAATTTTCCCCTCAAAAACGCTCAAACAGCTAACTAACTTTACCAAACCACTTGCAATGACAAGTGAAAGTCATGACACTACTGTCAATCTCTACACAACTATGGAAAGATTGAAGGGATGCATGGAATTTTTGGCATGCATAGAGATGAGACCTTTTTATTTTTTATATCCAGTAATATATACAGGTGCATCTCAATAAATTAGAATGTCGTGGAAAAGTTCATTTATTTCAGTAATTCAACTCAAATTGTGAAACAAATGATGATTCATATGTATCCTCAGAGGTTTGGGCAAATCATGAATAACTCCTGACCCTAGAACCGCCCCTGGTCCTTCTTATTGCTTTCACTGGTAGGAAATGTATGCTGTGTGCACTTTCAACAAAATCAGAAAGTGTACAGGCTATTGGAGAAATTGGCAAATAAATAGTTGTCTTCCTTTTGCTCTATATCTTTTGTCTCCACTTTGACATGAACTAAACTGACACAATGCCTGAGTAGCAGTACTGTACCTGCTACTGCGGTGGGTGAAGTCACGTAAGTGAAAACTAACAATATCAATTGCACTTTCAGAGAAAAGTTTGTAACAGATGTACTCTTTTAACTAGGGCAGAGAAACATTTACCCTACAAAACTACAGGCACTCTTTGGCAGACTGCACTCTGAGCCACTGGGCTACTGCAACAGACCCATGTCTCTTCCTAGGGTCTCCTCTCTCAGAATTCTACCTAAAACTGTCACTTTTTTTTAATCAAGGAAGTCCGAGAGAGGCACTGGCCCCAGTAGGAGAGAGGTGGGTGGGTGTTTTGGGAGGGGCTAAAGATCACGAGGAACCATGTCAAATTTGGACAGTTAGCTAACACTGAGTAAGAGGCCGAGCCATAAGCGTTCCTGTACTATGTTGAAACTTGTATGATTGAAACTATGCTTCCCCCTAGTGGCAGGAAATTGATTTTATATTTGCATGACAAATGATTGACTAAATGGCATGTCTGAGAAACCAAAAAAATATATAAATATTTTAATAATGTGATGTATTATTGTTGTTGTTTTTTAATGATATTTATATATTTGTTTATATATATATATATATATATATATATAACATGTGTGTATATATATATATATACACACATGTTATTTTGTAAGTTAATGTTAAAAACAAGAAGCTAAAGTAATACAGTTTGAATACATATTTTTGTAAGATTTTCATATATAAATCATAATCACCATAATTAAAATTATCTGTGTTAATTATGTAAGTCCAATAATTTCATTCCCCTCGATCTTTACCCTGCAGTTTTGGCCATTTCAGTAGCCATGGTGAAATGCGTTGGGCTGGAGGAACGGGATTTAAGGGGTGTGGTAGGAGAAAGAGGGAAAGATTTGGGGACGGAGTTCAAGGATCTGTGGTGCTGGAGGCCAGCTGAACCAAGCAGCCCATTCCGGCTCTCTCAGGAACAGGAGTATCTGTGCCTCAGGAGCAGCTCGGGGTCAGGCTTGGGTTGTACCATGCTGAGCTGCTCAGAGTAAGTCACATTAGAGGGTACGCAGGCCAAAAAGCAGCAGAAAAAAAGGAGAGAATGCAGGAAGGATTTAGAGAAGAAATATACTAGCCAGAGGGAGAGATCAACAGTGCAGAGGTGTCAGACTGCATACCAGTCACATTCCCATAAGTCTCCTATCAAAATCCATAGACAAGGAATATTATGCATTATGAGAGAAGACAAGCAGAGAAAACTGCTGTTACAAAACCTAGTGAGCTGCCTACGGAGACAACACAGTCATATGCTGCTCCAGACACTGAGGTTATTCCAACTTATTTTGATGCTTAAAATAACTTACTTCAGCCAGATTCTAAAGTTGCATCCCAAATGCAAATGTACTATACTATATAAATATTCAAATTGAAAACTGTTATTATAAATTGTAATAAAATACAATATTACTGTAAAAAAAAAAAACTGTTACAAAAATTTACAACATTACTGTTTTTACTGTATTTTTGATCAAATACAGTAAATGCAGCCTTGGTGAGCATAAAAGACTTCTTTCAAAAACATTTTAAATATCTTTCTGACCCCAAACTTTTGAATGGTTGTGTATGTGGCAGTTTAATATACAGTATAAGAAGTATTATATGTACTGAGGTAGCTCACTAGGTTTTGGAATTGAGCTACTATGTGCAGTCAACAAAACCAGAGTGCCTCAACATTTGTTAATAGAACAGACTGTAGGCAAAACACATTTTAAAGAAAGCAATGAAAGGACTGAGAAGACTGAACCTGAACTGACCTGTCTGCGTAGGGTTCGTGAGAGAGTGTGTGCCCGGCGAGGTGGGGGGATTCGTGGGATGCTCTCTGAGTCTGATAGGCTATGAGGACTGATCGGTCTGAACAGATCGGTGAGCACAGTCAAGTGTTGTGTGGGTTCTTCTGCTGTTTGAGACTGGATAGAGCCTATAGAGCCTGTGTGAGGAGACATTTGATATTACACAATTATTGATTTTTGTATAACAACCACATTTTAAATTCAGAAATAAAATGCAGTGCTCTACCTGTTTGAGCGAGGTGAGGTGAGGTTGTGTGGGTACTGTGGGTTGAGTTGGGCTGCAGTGGCAGGAACATGTAGCTGTCATTGGGCAGAGAATGTGTGCGGACCACTGAGGTCTTCTTCACGTACAGTAAGTGCTCATCCGTTGGCTCGTCTGGCTGCTGGGGGTCTGTGGGATCTGCTGGAGCTGTGGTCTGAGGGGCATTAAAAGAGAGAGCTGGTACTTGTGTTTGGAGCATCAGGGGCCCTTACGAACACATGGACGTACACGCACACACATTGTACCTAATACATAGAGGCTGGACTGGTTAGCATACAATGAAAGGCAAACATCACTGTGCACTAGACACAGGGAGGAGACCGATCAAGAAACATGTTCCCATAAATCATGTTGTATGAATGCAAATGCATATTTCTTATATGAATATGTACATCTAATGAATTTTTCATATCAGTGTATTGTATACTGTATATACATTTAAATTACAGATGAAAGTATGAACATTCGCTATAATTTTTCTCTTTTTTTTCTTTTTAGTGAATTGCCTCATCCAGTTCACAAAACCGAATAATTCATGAATCAGATTGAATCAGACACACTGACTCCGTTTGGAAATTTTGGTCTGTTAATCTGTTAAATGAGTCTTAAGAACCAAAAATTATGATACTTTTTGGTATTTTTGTGTCCTTTTTTTAAAAAAAATTTAAATTTCTAATTTTCATGAAAAAATGAAAGAAATACAGGGTTGGAATGACATGAGATTAGTAAACAATAGTAAGAGTAACCAATAATGACTTTTTTTTTTTGTGAATTTTTCCTTGAAATAACACTCAGGCAAGTCCACATATTCATATTCATAGATTTCACTTGTTTTGTTAATATTTGTCCATTATATTCTGATCATTATTTGTGATTAAATGTGTTTTGAGTAAATTTGCTCCCTTCCACTTTATAGTATTTAATCATTCTTTGTGGGTAACATTTACATACCCATTAAGATTTATGGTGGCATTTTTATCCTGCTTTATGGACATTGTGAAGTTATGCACATCTCAGTGAACATTTTTCTGCCTTTTTTCATCCACATAAATACAACAGAAAAATGAGAACAGGCTGGATCTAAATCTCACTCATCTGAGAGATGCTATGTATAAATTATTTATGGATCTATGGGCATAGTTCTGAGACAATGAATATGAATTCAATTGCGAGGTGACAGAATCCATCAGCCTCCTCCCTTCAGAAGCTGCACCCAGAGACTGTACTACTGTAGCTGGCAGACAGCAGAAGCCGACCCCATACCACACTCCTGTATTCTTTCAAGAAGCATGGTACTAGGGAGAAACTTCACTTTTAATACACAAAAGATAAGACATAAATAAAATCATGAAACAAAAACAAAGAGACACAGCTAGATATGCAGACCGATAGATTGAGGATGCAAACAGGAACATCTAAAAAGTATGAAGACACTAGATGGAGAAGAGATTCAGAAATGGCCTTTAGACGTGTGGGAGGAAGAATGGGGACATAGCTGCAGAACTCAAACAGGAAAGGAGCAGATTGACAGGCAGTAATACTACTCTACTGGACTGGACTGGACTGGACCATACAAACACCAGGCTGGTGCAAAATGTACAGAGAGAGGGAAAGAGAGAAAAAGAAAGAGAGGAGCGGAGCGGACGCTTAGAAACCCCCAAAGCTTCCAAACGCACTTGCCTCTCAGCTCTGCATAAAGTGATTATGAAGAAGATGCTCTACTTTTACAAATTAATCAGACTACCAAATGTCAGAAAACAGATTACTGGCATAGTTTTGGTATAAATCAATCATACATCCCTGGCATGGCAGATATTTAATTAGGTTTAATACCTACTTATATTTAATGTACAATAAACTTTCAAAAGTTCAGTTAGATTTTTCTAAACACATTATTACTTTTATTCAACATAATAAAAAATGTTACTTGCGCACCAAATCAGCATATTAGAATGATTTCTGAAGAATTACGTGACACTGAAGACTGGAGTAGCGACTCTTTCAGCTTTGCCATCACAGGAAATAAATGTTTTCAAATATATTAGAACAGAAAAAAAGTTAAATTGTAATATTCTATTTTTTTTTTAAATGCAACCTTGGTGAGCACAAGACACTTCTTTCAAAAACATAAAAACACGTACCGATACCAAACTTTTGTAACTGCAGTGTAAATAAGTAGAAAGTATAGTGATTAACAGCAGCAATTGACAAAATATTATATAAATGTTATATTTAAAGTATAGCAATATTATTATAGCATTTTGTCAGCTGATACTAAAATTGTGTGTCACTAGAAAACGTGCAAAATTTAGTTTTGCACATGTTGGAAAAACTGGAAAACTACTGCAAAATGTAGTTGTTAGGTTAGTAGTGTCACTATGATTTGAAACTTTTAGCAGTAACTCCACAAAATCGGGTACCACAAGAAACCAAGGGGACTTTCAAGGTGCCACTCTGAAGAACATTTAGCTAAAACTGTGTTGTAACTAGCTTAAAACATTTAACTGAAGAAATCTATTACAGGGCCTATAGGGCTGAATTATTCAGGGTCAAATACTGAAGCAGGGTGGAGAGGGCAGATGTCTTTGGAAGCAGTGTAAGGCTGAGAGGCAGGAGTGGAAAATGAACATTGCTCTACTGTTAAATACATTGCACTCCTGACTGGTAAGTAAGAGGGGGTTAAAATCATCTGGGACAGAGTCATCCGTCAGAGCTAAGGACCAGGATTTCTCCGACGCCAGAGACAGAGCCTCCATCTCGGCTAGAGGAATCTAAAGAAGAAGAGACGAGCCAAGAGTGAGACGGGCAACCAGCACATGCATAGATAGAAGACACGCACAGACCATCACACAGGTTAGTGCAAGTGAATTAATAAAACTAAAAGTGGTGAAGTCAGTTATTTTTTGTGAACATAACAGTTCAGTGTGTGGAAACCGGGGTTGTGTGCCATTTGGATTTGGACTGAGAAGGTATTTTAAATTCCAATTCAATTCCTGAATTGATGTAGCAAACAGGATGGAAGAAGTGCAATTCAAATCTCGATGTAAGAAAGTAGAATTAAAATTCAAAGAAATTCATATAACTAATTTTTAACTAGCCCTCATCCGTCCCTTCTTTAAGCGTTGATCGTTATGTTCTGAGACTTTTTTACTTTTGTCACACTTGAACCGGGAATACATGAAAACATTTTTTGAGTGAATTCGAGCAGTTTAAGTGGGTGCTATAAAAAAAGTATCAAAAGTGTCCCTCACGGGTCATTTTGACCCGCCACTGGAAAAGCATGGAATTTACGAAAAAACTGCGGATTTGTTTTATTTCATTTTGTCACACTTGAGCATGGAGCACACACACAAAAATTGGAGTCGATTCGAGGATTCTATGTGTAATAAAATAAGGTGTAATAAAAAAAGTAACAAAAGTGTCCCTTGCGGGTCATTTTGACCCGGCCATAGGAATGAATGGAATGTCAGAAAAAAACAGCATTTTTTTTTTGAAACACATTATAGCATTTATGATGTTTCTGCTGGGAAATGACTGTCATTTTGAATTTTTGGTTTTTTACTTAACACAGTTAAATTTGAGTGATGGGATGGAGACCAATGAGTTTATATCATATTTATATTTTTACATTTATCTTTTATATTTATTACATATTTATGAAACTGTATGAATATGCATGTGTTTGGATTAAAAATCCGTATCAATTACATTTTTTTAGTTTTTTTAATGTTTTGCTATATATCTGAAAGCCTTGAGATATATCTGAAAGCTTAATGAAGCCTCAAGTTGGTGTAGTTTTGAAGATTTCACTTGTTTGGCTCATTTAAGAATCTCCATAGGATTAAATAGGCCCCTCTAGTGGCTGTAATCATAAAATGAAATTGTATGTAATTTTTCCCCACCAGATGGCATCAGAGACACTCAGTGACCTAGGTCCTGATGGATCAACATGTTTAAAGTATAAATATGCAGAAATTGTGTCTTTCTTTGTTTTTGTTTGGTGAAAAAATGTATAAAAATATGCTCATTTTCATATAAATATCCAGAATTTAATGTGAATAAAATAAAAATCAATAAATAATAATAAAAAAAAAACCTACATAAAAAAATTGAAAAAAAAATATATAAAAATGGACCAATATACGCTTTTTTAAAGTCATTTTTGGCCTTCGGGTCAGGGTCATTTTGACCTGCGAGGGACACTTTTGTTATAGGTTCGTGAGGGACAGATGAGGGCTAAGAAAGAATAGTTTGTCAAGGCAAATCTTTATTGTAGGCTTGACAAAACTTTGTTTAAAAGTTTTGAAGGTTTATAGACCAGATAAATAGACACAGACAGATAGATATTCAATTTGGGTTGAATTTCTTTGAAATTAAATACTGTATCACTTCCTGTCACTCCAAACTCAAATTCCAATTGAACTTCTTGTGGGGCGTGGCTAAGGAAATTCAAATTCACACTCATGAACTGAAAGAGAGCCAATTCTTCAATTCAGAAATTTGATCAGCCCTGATGGAAACACCCTCCAGAGTCAGTTGACAGGATGCATATAACCTTCCTTCAGTAGCCAGTATAGATTTCCTGAAGTTTAATGGTCCTCAAATATTAAAATGATATCAGAAAACAAGGTCAAACTCAGTTACCTTCAAGGAGAAATAATATGGAATCTCTTTCATAAATCCTCATATGTCAGCAGGCGAAATCTTGCTTGCTGCATCGTCTAAATTGTCCCTGAGAGTTTGGGCTGGAACAACTTTTTGCAAAGTCATCAAAATAAAAGCGCCAGCTATTTCCATAAAGACATTACAGATTCTCCAATTACATAAAAAAACGCTTTTAGAAGCCTCCGTTCTTGCAATGCTAATGTAATTTAATGAAATATTTCAATGTGAAACAGACCAAAAGAGATTTCCTTGCATAATTCAACAGCGGTCCAGCTCTTTATCGATCCACACATTACCTCTTCTACTCCAGCCTGATGAGTCCATCACTTTTTTGGGTATTAATGATCTTTGGAGCGAGGCACACATTTCACACAATTTTGCAAGCCTTTGTCACTCTTATGGGATCAGGAAATAAGTACACTTATTACTGGAGCAGAACCAAGTCCTTCTAAAGAGCGCTGGAAATCCCAGAGTGCAGAGGTGGCTTTGTAAGTGACACACAGAAGCTTCGGTGCTATTATGTAAGTTTAAGTGGTCCAGAGAGAGAGAAAAGGAGGCAGAGAAGAAGGGAAAGAGACAGGCAGAGAGAAGAGGAGTGTGGTACAAGGCAAAGCTGGGTGAACGGGGATGCCATTGACCTGTTTCTCAGTGCAGTGCTTGCTGTGAAGGGGGGGCAGAGCGTAGTAGTGGCAGATGGAGTCAGATAGGTTGTCCATGAGGCTGAGCTCTCCTTCCAATGAGCCCTGGATCACCAGGGAAACTGAGTCAAACATAGGCCTCCGCTAAAAGCCCCAGCATGTGGCAGACAGGATGAATGACGAAGAGAGAAAAAGAGAGCAGACAGAGACAGAGGCAGAGGAGATGATGAGGGGTGACGTGAATGACATTACACAGAGAAAAAACAGAGGAGAAATGAAGGAAGGAGAGAAGTTTCTAGACTTTAACACAAGCAGAAGGAAGATTTACGAAAGGATAAACAAGCTACTCAGTAAGCCTTAAGGATTCATTTAAAGAAACAGTTCACCCAAAAATTAAGATGTCATCATTTACTCACCCACGCTGTTGACTTTCTTTCTTCCATGGAACACAAAAGTAGACATTCTGAACAATGGACTTCTGTTCCACAGAAGAAAGTAAGTTATATGGGTTTGCAACAACAGTGATTAAATAATGACAGAATTTTAAATCTGACGTGAACTGATCCTTTAAACCAGAATAGCTAAGATGCATTAGTTAAATCAGTAGTACAATGCATTATGTGCCGATCAGATGTAGTATTGGGCTTTAAACTGGCAAAGATGCATTTGCTCACAGGTGAAACACTTGATTGTACCACTGACATCCACAAGGGGGAACTAGAGCTCTATGAGCATTTATCCTGACGATGAGCAAAACATTTAGGCAGGGCCACACTTCAGAAGAGAGCTGAAGGGATAATGTCATTGTTAGCTTTAAAAAAAAAAAAGGCTGGTATTCTGGAAATAGCCAGCCTGCATTAAAAAAAGAAGAGGCCTGTATCACTACTTTCCCATGGCATCAGTCTGACCTCTGACCACTAAATTTATGAGGAGCAAACAACAGTCACATCTCCATATGACATTAACAGAAACCAATGGACTTCCCCACTTTAAAAATAACAGTTCAGTGTTTTAAAACATGTCTTTTCAGTAAACCTAAATGCATGTTAGTAATGATCTGTAAGCCCTTATCGTAACAGACTTATTTTTTAAACAAATAAACAGTTAATTGATAGTTGGACACTGACGATAACCAATGCGGGGAAAAAAAATACTGTATATTTTATATATTGTGAGACATCTAGATATCCATATCATATATCATGTTTTTAAAAGGATGGTCAGAGTTACAAGTTAAAGAGTTCACCCAAAAATTAGAATTGAGAGTTTATTATTAATTAGAAAAAGCACATATTATTATTGTCTTATCTGCATGACCATATTCTAGATCCCTAAACCCTACCCAATACCTAAACATAACTACTACAACAACTAGCGTACGATCAATAAGCAGCAAATTAGGAGCTGATTGAGGGAAAACTGAATATATATAGTGAATATGTTTTCCCAAATATAAAGTTTTACCCAATTTTTTGTCCCACAGAAGAAACAGTCATACAGGTTTAAAAACAACATGAGTGAGTAAATAATGACATTTTGAAATTATTATTATTTTTTATTCACTATCCATTTAAACTCTATACTGTTGATTTCCAAGAAAATAACTTTACTATGTTTAAAGAAAAATCATGTTTACAATTATGCAGAAGTCAATGGGGCACTGCATTGCACTGAAATAAATTTTGAAGCACATAATGTTGTGCGTATAGGACTACAAGGCTTAAACATTATACGTTTACATGAGACTAGAGTAACAAAATTGTTTACCATCTTCTTCTATGCAGAGTTCCTCTCATGACCATATAAAGCCAGTAAACCCTGCAAATTTTCAGATGATACGTGCAATAATACCAAAAAGGGACTTTTCACATAGAGACAAATCCACAGGAATTAGATTAGTAATGCAGAACCAAAATCTCAGTAGTCCGACTGCTAAAAAACAACTTGCATACCAAATAATGCATATTTTGTACAGACAAATTAATATAAGTGCACTGACATAAATGCTTTAACCAACTATGAGCTGGACTTTTTTTGCTTTTAAACCCTCTGGAAGGTCTTGCTCCATCAACTTCCTTTGTAAGTGCACTGCTGTAACCAAGATTCGTGTTTGTTTTAAAGGGGTCCCATTATGCTCTTTTACAAAGTCTTGATTTTGTTTTGGGGGTGTACTAGAACAGGCTTTCATACTAGGTTGTTCGAGCCGGATGATTGTAACCACTTTAAGTTTATCTGCCTTGGGAAAGCTAGCATGTCTCCGACATAGTGATAACACTCGTTGCCTTCTCTAGTGCAGCTCAACCAGGTCTCGTCCCATTCGTCGATATTTGTGATATCACAAATCCCGGAAAATATGCATTGTAGTCCAAACGAGTCGTTCATTGTAGTTTTTGAAAAGTGGTTTCTGTTAAATAAAATATCTACTATTTTTAGCTTTGTAACTTTGCAGATATTTTTTATGCTCAAACAGCAACATTACAGACTAACTAAAGTTGAAAAAGTGAAAAAGCATAATAGGACCCCTTTAACAAACTGAGGGACAAAATAATGTTCAGTGGTAATGGAGAGCATACAGCAGATGCTTAAGTTTAATTGAACCAAAAACATTCCTTTAATATGTGCATCAGTGACGTCAGTGGGTTCAGGCATTTATGGAGGCATATGGTATGTTGTCTAACAGTATAGTGTATTTAGATAATAGAGCGCTTCAGTGGTTATGTATTTTTGTAGACCAACCCAGAAGTTAACATCACCCTGGTTCCCTCGACAAAAACCCAAAAGGATTTTCTACTGGCTTAAGGATTATTGTAGAAAATAAACTCTGTGACCAACAAAGTCTTATGGTTCCTACATGTTTTGTTCATCACGATAACCTTCACGAATAAACATAATTTTCATAAAAATCTGAAACCTAAATACAATCACCAGAAGTAAAAAGCTTATAACCAAACTACACCATGGTCGCATGAAAAGCTGACATCTCTTTCAGTAAAAAAATAAATAAAAAAATTCCTTGAAAGTTTAAGAATAGTTTTCAAAAGCATGATTATAAATAAGGCTGTAAAGGTGGGCTAGTGAGTTGATGAGTTTACTTGTTCAGTGTGATGACATTTATCCCACATTTAGCCACTTGTTAGCAACTGCCTTTTTTAAAAAAGTTTTTAAAGTTAAAGCTTTAAAGGGGTCATATGATGCGATTTCATTTTTTCCTTTCTCTTTAGAGTGTTACAAGCTCTTGGTGCATAAAGAAGATCTGTAAAGTTGCAAAGACTAAAGTCTCAAATCCAAAGAGATATTCTTTATAAAAGTTAAGAGTTAGCCACACCTACCTAAAACGGCTCGTTCGAACACGCCCCCACATATCTACCTCACTATGTGGGAAGATTTGCATAACGCCGCCCAAATGTTCACGCAAAGAAAGAAGGCGTAACTTTTATTCTCACTGTAGTATTGTTGCCGCTGCCGCCATGTCCTGAAGACGCTGTGTGCTTCGTTGTGAAAGCGAAGCTACTTTGTTTGGTCTTCCAAAAGAGGACGATATCCGCTTCGTCATGCCTAGAGCTGATCTGTGCTGGTCGCTGAGGGAATACTTCAACTTAGTGCTGTGGATCGCCAGCACATTTTATGGAGGACTGTTTACTGATCCTGGGAGAGTTACGTTAGACTAAAATGCCGGCAGTTCTGACTCACGTAAGTACGTTTTCTTTTATCATTTGCCACTGATGATTCAAACGCGAGTTTTGGGCAGTGTGGATTAACGTTAGCACTTGTTGTTTGTCATTTCTCTGATCACAAATGCAGACAGGGTTTTATGTTTACGCGGCGCAATGCAACGCAACGCGTAAAAAGACAGTATAAGTCATTATAATCAGTAATTATGTCCCCACTGGATGCAACAAATGCCTCGTTTGTAATGGGTTTTAATGTTTATGTCTCGTCGCTCCGGCCGGACACGGCATCAACAGTATGGTGAGGGGCGTAACATTTCCGTCTCACGCTTGAGGTATTCGGCCAATCACAACGCACTGAATAGCTGGCCAATCACAGCACACTTCGCTTTTTCAGACCGATGAGCTTTGTAAAAATCGACGCGTTTCAAAAAGGCGGGGCATAGAGGAGAAACAATAATGTACAGTATGTGGAAAATAATGTGTTTTTTTAACTTTAAACCGCATAAACACATTTCATTACACCAAATACACAAAATAATGTTCTTTTTAGCAGCATCATATGACCCCTTTAAGAAAAATCACAAGGGGGTATTACTGATGTATTTTGTGTCATAGAATAAAACATGAAAAGATTGTGTTAACTACAGATTTTATTTCAGGCAAAAAAATAAAAAATATATAAATAAAAAAGACGATGGTACTGGGAATGGTAAAATACTAGCTCATTCCTGGGTTTTGGCCTACAAAAATATGTAATCTCTCCAGCATTCTATTTAAAAGTTTCAGCAAAACGAAAGCAAGCTGGGCACCACTGCTGAAACCTGCTTAAGATGTTGGCTGGTTTCTAGATGGCCTGATGTGGTCGTAAGCAGCTTAAACCAGGTAGCATTAAGTCTGGCTCATGTGTTGAGCCTGGAAACTACACACCACTGACCTCACACCCAGCATTTCCACTCACCTCTAATGGCTGCTCCAAATTATGAGGAGGATCGGGATCTGTCTTTATGTGATCTTCAGAGTCTCTGCGTATGTCTGCAGGTGGGTTGTCTGAGGGGTAAAGAGGTCCCGACATATCTCGAGAGTCTCTTGAGATCCAAGGCGACCCTCCTGGTCCACCAACGTCACCATGTCCCAGAGATGGCATGTGCCCTCGGGATATTCCTCCATCTCCACCCACAGCCTCCAGCTCAAGCGCCATCTCGGCTTCCAGCTCAGCCTCCTCCTTGGCCTCTTTGTTGCTTTCCTCCAGGTGTTTCATGAGCACAGCGATCACCACATTGACCAGCACAAACTGAGCCGTCAGAACGAAGGACACAAAGTAAATGGGGGACACCACCGTGTTGTAGCAGATGCCTGTATCTTGGGAGCAGTCTCTGAGCGTGTCCTGCAACGTGGACACACAGAGTGTACAAATAAGAGGTGAATAGGTTGCTAACGACCGTAGTCAGAAAACGCACAAAGCATTTTCAAACAAACCGTGTGCATCATTGAAATTCAGCACCATGAGTTGACTGTGTCCCACCTTCATAATGCCATTCCAGTTGTCCCCGGTGGATACACGGAACAGCAGGAGAAAAGCCATGCCAAAATTCTTGAACGTGGCATAACGGCCGAGACCTTCACATGGGTGCAGCTCATCACATACTGGGACAGAAAGAAAAGGTCAGTGGTACATGATCTGGGAATGTGCAGATCAACATATTTTCATAATGGCCAAACACATTCTTTTACATGTGTACAGTGCTGTGACAAAGTAAGTGCTCCCCATGAAAAGTTGGATCGATTTTTTCAACATTTCAACACTTTCAGAAATAAAGGTTTAAAAGGGGGGGGTTTGTAGCAAGACCATAGAAGAACCATTCTGGGTTCCCCAAAGAACCTTTCAGTGATCCTGACTCATTCTTGGTTGGGAAGAAACTGAAAAAAGTTTGCCTTGCAGACAGTCAATCTCAGTTCAGCCAGCAGACTCCATATATTAAACTTGGACAACACTGTAAAGCTGGTTATGAATTATGAAGTCTCTATGTTTATCTTGAGTCGGCTGATTGGAAATGGAAATGACATCAACCCTGGTATTGTGCTGAGCTGCAATGATTCACGGCAGGCTGTATTCAGTAAACCGTGCCAAATGTACTGCCACATATTTTAGAGAAAATCTCTTGCAGGTACCATATTTATGGTTTGCCCTTTCGGACAAGGATGGAAAACTTTCTAAAATATGTGAAAGTGATTTTACAGCAATTTAGAACAAATAAACTAATAAAGAGTAATAAATCAAGTCATTTAAAACATAATTATGTACCATCAGAGGATTAGAGGGTTACAACATGAGTAGACAAATCAACGACATAAAGGGAATAAATGAATGAAATTAGTTTTATAGGACCCCTTGATGAATAGAGATGGAGCCTGTAACATATTGTATAAAACTGAGTGTTGCATTTAAGTCTGGCCTATATTAAAGTGTAAATTACCATATTAATGTGTTTACTCTTTGTTGAGATACTTATATTGAAATTACTGGTGCATTACATTTTAATTTAACTTTTTTTAAAGTTTTTAATGTGGGACAGTCAAAGTTATTTTGACTTCTTAACTTTAGGTTTAGTTAAAGTTAACTTAATATTTTAATTTTTTAGTTTTTGGATTCTCAGCAATAGTGTCAGGAACCCCACAGGGAATGTTAGTAATTTACATTTCAGTGTGCATAAAACTTAAGACAGGAAGATCCTGTGGAGTGCATAGGTATGTGTGTGTATATGTGAGAGGAAGTGTTTGTGTCTGAGTGAATTAGACCATGAGGAAAAATGGTCCTTATTTATGTGTGTTTGTTATGCTTACTCAGGTCACCAAACAGCTCTACTCCCAGAGCAGCGAAGATGAAGAAGAGCAACATGAAGAGAAGACCCAGATTCCCCACCTGTAGAGAGAGCAAGAGAAAGCCAGGAGAGTTTGTCATGGAACGCAATGACAGGACAGACCTAGAAATACCACCTGTGAGGAGCCAATAAGAGAGAGTCATGAAGTGAGAAGATGACAGCTGTGTTCCACCTGATTAGAGCTTGCCAGGTTTGTAAACTTAAAACTCAAACTATGCCGAAGTCGTGGCTTACTGTTGCTAGCAGTTAGCGCACATGCTCCAGACATGTTGACGGGGGAAAAATCTGACATCCTGTTTTTGTTTTTGTTTTATCACATTCCCTCTTTCTCTCAATCAATAAGAAGTGTCAGAAGCCTCATATCCTAATTACAAAACCTGAAAGTTATTTAGTACATTTTCATGTCACCATCATACAGTGTGTCTTAATAAATTGGATAAATTATAATCATTCATTTTCAAAGATGGAAATCATATTTATTTTCTTTTATCACAATATATTTAACATAGGTTTGAATTTTAAATAATTTCACTACACTTATTTGAGTAAATGTTGTCATTTTTAGCACATAATTTCAGGAGATTTATTTATTTATTTATTAAGAAACATTTTCAATTTATTGAATTTATTTATAGACAATGTATTAATAAATATGCCACTTTTCCCCCTTTTCCCCCCAAGCAAAACATGACTTGGGAATATTGATTTATATAATTTAACATAATTCTGTGATTTTTTTTTTATAGAAGTTGGTTTGTTTGACTTACAAAATATTAAATCCTGTTACATAAAATTATAGAAAGCAGTATTATCAAAATTTCTAAAGATGGTTAAAATGAAGAAATTAAAGTATATCAAATTAATTTCAAGTTGACCCCCTACAGCTACAGTAACCCTCAATAAGCAACAATAAGACTAACTTTAGATCTTTATGTTCATCCTGTTAAATTATTGCCATTGTGTAAGATAAATAAATAAATAAACAAATAATAATGCACTTTAATTTATTATTATTGTTATTATTACTGTTATAATAATAATTATTATTATTTTAGGTGCCTAAACCTTGCTCTGGTATATAGAAACACCGTAATATTCATGTACTGCTGCATAACAGGAAGAATCCACCTACACCCAGAAGAATCATGCAAAACAATCATGCAGAGTGGTCACAGACAACTGGATCAGGCATGATTTTGAGGAAAACGGAAAGGAATACAAAGAATCAGATTAGATGTGCTGACAAATCCGACTGCGCTGACATTCTTTTTTGTAAGTCTGGCTATTTTCCCACCCTAATCTCTCTTAAGTGCACTCTTCACTGGCTGGATTCAAGACACGGGGGATCAAGCTCACACTATCTGGCAGGATATCTCAGTCAGAACACTATTACGGATCACCTCTCACAAATTGCGGAAGAGTAGATCAATAGCCCAGAACCACAAAAAGCAACTTTAATACAAAAGTATAAAGTGTGTGAAAGTCACAGCGACACTGTGAAAGGGCGTTAGGAGGCGATGCTAAGATCAGGTGATGGCTAAACATGATCTAACCCAATTAGTGACAATTAGTTAGAATTAAGTAAGAAGTAGAATTACATGTCTGATTATCTGAAGAGCGCTAAAGGAGAGACTGGAATTAATAGTGTGTCCTGTGGTGCAGCATGTTTCCAAATGAAAAACCCTGCAGGCGGTGATGGAGCCTGATGCTATCAAAAGAATGTGCATGCTGGAGATTTTCTCATTTCTGCTATTCTCCAAGCAGCCCATCAGAGCCAATCTGCACTGCTGTGGCCTCTTCATGGCAGATTGACTATGTAAATGAGGCCTGTGGAGAGCAGAAGGGCCCCAGAAGAACGGGGAACAGGGCCCGGGAACTCTCTCGCCGCGCATGATACACTGGAGGAGTGAAGAGCAGAATGTTATGAAGGAGACAGAAAAAAGTTTTGTGCAGTACCTGAGGGAGTGCCTGAATCACAGTGTCTAGCAGAGCTCGCATTCCCACTGCCATCTTGAGTAGCTTCAGCACTGAAAGGAGAGGAGAGCCCGCTTACTGTGCATATATGAAATGTACACAATCTGTTCAAGACAGTTTCAAATATAAAATACAAAAGGAGTACAATTTCAAATACACCTTTTTTTTTTTTTTTACCAGTGCACTTACAAGTGTATTTATTTAAAAATGAAAACAACAACAAAAATCTATTTGTTCTAATCTATCTATCTATTTGAAGGGGTAAGAGGCAAAGGTTAAGTCTGCCAGTACAGTGTGAATTGGCTAGGCAGGGGTCTCCAAACCTTTTGTGAGTGAGGGCTCCCTGAAGGGATAAAATAGTCTCAAGGGCTACTTGTTTGACATACATACATACATACCTACATACATACCTACATACATATATACATACATACATACATACATACATATATATATATTTTTTTCCTCTCTCTCTAAATTAATACAATACATTTTATTTTCCCCTAAATTCTGTGCTTTCCATTTGATTTCTTATGGATTCCGTGTTTTATGATTCAGTACAAATGTATCATAAAAAAATGGTGTCTAGTGAAATAAATTAATAAAACTTTAACAATTTAATCAATCTTTTCAAATGTAATCAAATGAAAATCAATTTACAACAAAACATTGCATTTTTATTTATTTTATTTTATTTTATTATTTTATTTTATCAGACATGATGCTGCACAACAGAACTGTAAACTGAACTGAAAAAATTACTTGGTTGCATGATATTCCTTAAAATAATATTATTACTTTGAGAATTGCATTGTAGTATACAGTAGTAATATATTCAGTCATATAATTTCAAGTTAAACCGGACTTTTATTTTGACGGTTTGTCGTGAAGGTCTTTCAGTTTCAGTTTTAGTTTCAGGGTGTATTTGACGGTATTTTTCTCAAATGAAACTGCATAAAGCTGGTGAAGTGACTTTCAGAGCAGCTCTGAAGATGAAGTGCATGTGTTCATGTCCTCATATATTGAGACGCCACACATTCACACAGACACACAGAACATGCAGGCTTATTAGCGACTGGTTGCTGTAACATTTATTTCTGTTGTGATTAATCCATATTGAGTAAAAATATCCAGAGCTTATCATCATTATTAACATACATTTTATCATAATCTCGATATGATATTTATCGCCCAAAGCTAATTTAGGCTATTTATAGAACGTGCTTGGCGGGCGACTCAGAGACTCCATGCGGGCTACCAGGTGCCCACGGGCACCACGTTGGTGACCACTGGGCAAGAGATTCACAGATATTAAAATTCTGATTGATACTGATAAGCTATTAATTGTTTTCAAGTAATGGCTGATATGGCCAATATTAAAATCATATAACTGTTTAAAAAATTAAAAATAAAATACTAAAAATAAACAAATGAATAAATAAATAAAACCTGTCATTTAAATGCTACAAGTGAATAAGTAGCCTAGGTATCACATTATTATGTACATTATGTAAAATGAAAATACATTTTAAGATCTGCTAAACATTTAATTTAACAGTGTTATTTAACAATTAGTTTTTTAAAAGATGAACGTTAAGTGAGACAGAAAAAGAAATCCAATACAAAAATAGGTAAAGTAAAATATACACAGTACCAAAAGTTCAAAAGTTTAGGGTCAGTAAGATTTTTTGAAAAAGACTCTTATGCTCACCAAGGCTGCATTTATTTTATATTACTATTTGATAATTTTGTAAAATATCACAATTTAAGACAAACTATTTTCATATTTTTAAATAGTGAATAGACAGCAAAAAATACACACACAGTGGATGCACTGTTTCTTTAAAAGTGGCCAGTGGAAACTAATTCTCATGTAATTTTTACAGTGGTCAGATCACAGAGCATGTTATTATTGGGGTCATGCACTACACACACAGAGCTTTAATGATGTTGATGACAAGGCCATTCAGCCATGGAAGAGACGCCGCTGTGGAGGTTTGGTTAATTGCAATCATGGCCTTAAGTGGATGATGCCTGTGACTTTCATTATGGGAATGTTTGAATGAGTCCAGGAAGAAATAGGCTGCGTATACACACACACACACACACACACACACACACACACAACCTGATGAGAACACAGACATCTGAGCAGGTGTGTTTGCTTGGCCATCTCTTTTGAGGGAATAATCAATAAAGACTCACCCAGCAGCTCTTTCATTAGAGGAAGAATAATCGTTCCAAGTAGACAAGCACCCCAGCTTCCCACACTGTGTGTGTTGTGAGCGTATATGCTTGTGATTGTGTGTGTAAGAAATAAGTAGAGTGGCTGTGTGAACTGAATTTCTCATTACAGCCATCTGGACTCTTTCTACACAGACTACGGCTTCTGCTGAGCAGTCTGTGAAACAACAGAGATCCCGAGGGTGACATACACAACCGGGTCTGATCTACTGAAGCTAACAGGCAGAGCGCTGATAAGTGTAAACTTTTGCAGGGAAGAAAAATGGACCATGGCGGTACGGAAGATAAGAGGGCAGATAATACAAACCACGAGCGATCCGCAGCACCCTCATGATGCGTATGATAGTGGGGTTGATGGGAAGGGAAGCATTGACTTCAATTTCTTCCAGTGTTATGCCCATAATAGACAACAGAACAATGGCAAGATCCAACTGGTTCCACCTGTGTAAAAACAATTGTTACATTAGTTATAAATAGTAATTACAATTTAGTTATTAATAGTAAATAAGAGAGTAATGCTGCCTTCAAATCATGTCAGAATGACTGTATTTATAAGATGTGCTCACATGAATGTCGTATTTACCTACTTGGGATAAAAATATTTTTATTAAAGTTTACATTTTTTTTTGTTTATGTTGATGTTACAACGTGTTTCAATCGTCTTTATCTATTCTGGATTAAATTGAATTGCATTAAATTATTAAATGATTTGTTTTAATTTAAAAAAATTGTTTATGTTACTGTTACAATTTACCGCAATTCAATCGTATTTATCTACTCTAAATTAAAATTATTAAATTAAACTATTCGTTTGAATAAAAAATAGTTTTGTTGACGTTACAATTTATTTAGTATACATTTTATATACCATTGATGAGCGATTGTCAGAAAATCTTACACATTTAACTGTCTATAAAGCAAAATTACATTATCCAAAATTCTACATTGTTAACTACACATTTTAAGTGCATCCTTTATTTGTTATTCCAACTTGCTTCGCCAATAAGAGAGAAATTTCATGTTTCTTTTTTTGTCAAAAAGAGAGAATGAAATATGAAATTGCCCAATGTGCTAATTTTTAAAATCACTTCAATTTCACAATATGACTTCCTCAATCTTACAACTTCAAAGGACTTGAAGGTAGCATAGTATCCTTAAATACACCAGGCAAAGTGTGCACCACAATTTCAAAAATGAAAAGCAATGAAAATTTGAAGCTTCATTTTGTGTGAATAACCCTTATTTGACCCTGGATGTTACTTCTCTTTTCCAGCAAGCTTCTCAGCATGTTCACTGTCTAAATATGGCTTCAAACTTTGTGGCAAACTTTAAATAACTCCCTCTCAGGGTCAAATATAACACTGTCATGGGTGAGGTAGAGCCTACAGCCTGTTTTAGGACACCTCCATTTTCTGGGGCCTGCAGCCATAAGAGGTGTTTCATTAGATATGTGGGGAAATTTAAGTCAAATGATTAACACAAAGCATTTCTTCATTTTTCCCACAAGTTTAGCTCGCTAATGGGCCCAGTGATCAAAGTGTACTTCCATCCTCCATTCCTGCGGACTTGGAGTGTGTTGCATGAAAGAGCCGATCATTTCCAATGTTGTAAATCAATAAAACTCTTAAACCTTCACCTCCTGAACAGCATGTTCTGAAATGTCTGACAGTAGTTTCAACTCATGGGAGGGCCTTTGGTGAGAGATTTGTTTTAAAATCATATCAATTATGTTGTGTCAAAGTTCTCATTAGTATGCAAATAGCTGCTTTACATTTCCCTACACATGGATTAGGGATCAGGGAATACATTGACATGATATGCTTTTTATGAAACTATTGAAAGAAAAAGCTGATTACATGAGAACTTCTAATGGCCTATCAACTTCAGTAAAGGGCCTAATACTCATATTGACTGATTATTCAAAACTAATTAAAAGAGTAATGGATAATTCAAACTCTATATAGAGAATGTGTGTGTTAAATTGTGCCAACACATAATTAAAATGGTAAAATAAAGCATTTACCACTTCTTTTTTACTAATTTAAGAGGAATAAACGCCATTTAGGATGCTTTCTCATTGTTAAAGCCCCAGGCAGTGTGATTTTGGATATTTCAAGAGGGGTTTCTTTTACCAAAACCTCAAGTGATATAAATTTGGTTCTTGTTTTTCACCACAGACGCCAGTGCATTCAGCCCTCAATGTGCTTCTGACAGTCTGAGGCAAACCAAGGAATCTCAAAGCTGTGATATCATTTTTAAAGGATGTGGCTTTAGGAATACTAACGAACCCTATCACAAAAAAAGAAAAAAAGAAAAAAAATTATTCACTTATGGGGGCATTGGAGTACATCCATGGGAATGGCTTCACTGTAAATATCATTTGGTTTTGAGAATTTTTGTGAGAGTCACATCTACTACCTGTCCTTGAAGAAGCGTCGAAATCCAAAGGCAACAAGCTTGAAGACGGACTCTAGGACAAATATGATTGTGAAAATGTAGTTACAGATCTTCAGAGCTTCATCCAGAACCTGTTAAAACACAGCGGTTGCAAAGAGAATGTAATAGTGAAAGTACAGAATTAACAAAGCTTAAAACAAGCATGTATCTGCTCTTTCAGAAAAAATAAATTAATGAATACACAAACTGTAGGCCGAATGATGGCCAAATAAGTCATTCCATTATCAATACGTGGAAAAGAAGTGGAAAAGATGGTTAGATTGCCCAAAGGAAACACCAATCATTAGCTGGCATCTTCAGGGTCTGACAGTCAGTGGACATTTCCAGGGGTCTGGCCTTTCCCCCGTCCACCACACAGTAATTAAAGCCAGGCTAAGTGTGACGATGCACCGGAAAATCAATTGATTCTGTTCATGCCTAACAATCCCCTTTGCTCCACTTCCTCCAAGATTCTACAGACCACCGGGGCTCTAATTAAAACAGACTGCCATTTATAAACACAGGTGAGGTCACAGACCTCCATTAATGATGGGTGAAAACCCTGTGAAGCATCACAACAGAGCTGACTAATAAATAAATACATAAATTATTCTAATATAATAAAAAAAAAACAAGCCAAACAAATATAAAAATGTGTAGGCTAGCCTTTGAAAGAATCACAATACTGTTAATGGTAATTTATAGTGTCTTTTTTTTTACAGTCAAAACTGACCTTTGTCAAAAAGTAATTAAAAAAGCAGTTCAGAAGAACATATTACACCACCCAAATGATTTAGAGAAATCCAATCTAAACTCCCAGAGCTTATCTGCTAACTCATGTTATTGTTTTAGTCCTCTATTGAATATTCATGAATTGTCTCTATAGTATTATGTGTGTGTGTGTGTGTATGTGTGTGTGTGTGGGAGTGGGGGGGGTTGCAGATGAGGGAATGTGCATAAATTTCAGCCAATAAACTACAATGTGGTTTATTTTGGTGAGGCATTACTCGCACAAGGCTTCTTTAGAGACAAGCAATGGTACAAAATGTCCTGGAGCAGCACAACGAAAGTGCAACTAAGTATAATAGTATAAAGATTAAAATGATATACGCACTGCTATGATATAACCGAAATGCAGAACATCAACAAGAGTACATAAACATTAGCTGCCTTATCAGCAAATATTTTGCAGAGCCATAAAATGAGATAGCGGTGAGATGAACTTTGTTTGCAGTTACATAACCAGCAAGTGCATTTCCTTAATGGAATATCAACAAGCGCATACACTCTTCACTGCTGGCGTTCCAAAAAGTTCTACCTTAGGTTGTTTGTAGTGCTCCATGGACATGGTGATGACATTGAGCCCGATGACAATCGTGATGAACAGGTCCAGATAGTGGCTGGTGCACATCTTGTGGATGAGAAGCCGTGTAGGTGAGTAATCGGAGTAATAGGGTTTACTCTGGGCTTCTGAAGAACCATGGGAACAGGGAGGAATCATGAAATAACTGTACTGAAACAAACATCGTTTTGTACACACTCATGCCCACACTGAGAAAAGAGGGGAAGAGGGAAAGAACTATCGGGAAAGAGAAGAAGCTAAGAGATAGATCATACTGTATGTGAATAAGTTCACCCAGAAATTAAAATTGACTAACTCATCCTCATGTTGTTCCAAATCTGACATTATTTCTTCTGTGGAGCACAAAAGAGGAAATTCGAAAGGCTGTACTGGCCTCTCTTTTCCATGAAAAGTTTTCAGTCTTTAAAAATGGTGCAAATGCACCATAAACTTATCTTAAAATGGTCCATATGACTTGTGTGTCACATTTAAAGTTTTGTGAAGCCTTATGATTGCTTTGTGTGAGGAATAGAGTCAATCAGTGTTAATCACTGCGACTGAATTGAGTCAGTGAGTTACACTTAATCAGTTAAAATTAGTGAAAGAATTATTCGTTTTATGAACTGGATCATTCGTTGATTTGACACAAATAACGATTAATTTACAAATCTTAACTTTTCAGGGAGAAAAAACTAATTCAGCCTGACTGCAACTGAATCATCAAGATAGTGAGTTGTACTTGAAAACTGGATCAGTCCAATTTGTGAAAGAATCATTTAAATTAGTTTTATGATCTGGATCATTCATTAATTTGACCCAAAAGATTGATTCATTTACAAATTTGAACTTTTCAGCAAGTAGTAAAATAAATTCAGCCTGATTAACACTAAATCAGTGTTAATCACTGCGACTGAATCATCGAGTCAGTGAGTTGAACTTGAAAACTAGATAGGGCTAATTTTTGAAAGAATCATTTAGATGAGTTTTACAAACTTTGGTTTGACTCAAACGAATGACTCATTTGCAAATCTAAACTTTTCAGTGAGTAACAACATAAATGCACTCTCACACATATATATTGTATGACTTTATATGACTTGTAATATAGTGCTTAAGTTGTATGGACCACTTTTATGATACTTTGGTAAAACAGCCGTCAAAATGTCTCTGTTTGAATAGCGAAGAAGAAAGTCATATGGGTTTTGAACTAAATGCTGAGTAAATGAGAATTTTCATTTTCGTGTGAAATTTTTCTGTTGGCCGGTTCCAAATATCAGATCAAAGGCAGAGGAGCCCATATTGAGGGGCCAAGATGCCTGAGATCTTTTCACTCACGGACACCTCAACAAAACAAATTGTCTTATTGTTATGTACTTTCTAATGAGATTCCCTGAGACATAAAAGAAACTCCATTCCATTTGGACAGACTTGTGCATATGCTAGTTTTCTGATCCATTTCTATTTTTTGTGATTTTTCTCTGTTGTTCGCTGAGGATGGAGAGGACAGGAGGGATGGAAGAGCAGCGGGGGGCCGGGAGGCTTATCATCCCAACACACAGGCAGGGCTGTGAGCGGCAGCTGTGTTCCCTTGTGGTCCTGTCTGCCCATTAGGCAGGCTTTTTCTGGCACCAGCCACTGGACCGAAGGAACAGGTGTTGCATTCAACCTTTTCTTTTTTATATATAATGGTGCCACACACTGGATAGCGAATTTGAGTATGACTCATCTAGAACATGTCCAAATTATTTGCTCGTTAAAAGTGATGCGAGTAATATTTTGGATGTTAATCTCAGTTTAACATGCAGAGATATCTATAAGCAAGCCATTGTCTGTGTTTGTGTGTTCCATACGGACTTTGGGTCTCTGTATAAGTGATGAGGACTAGAGACCAGTGTTATTTTAGTGTTCTTCATATACTATTATGATATAAAAATTTGTAATTAGATTTTATTTTTGAATTGTTAAGTTTTCATTTTAATTTTAGTTTAAGTTTTAGTAATTTTTGTGCTTCTGTCAATTTTATTATTATTATTTATATTTCTGTTTAGCTTTAATTTATATTTCAGTTTTAGAAATGTTAGTACTTCAAATTTAACTTTCAAAATTTTAATTTTAATTTTTAATTTATTTATTTCATTTTAGCTTTATTTAAATTAATGTTAACTATTTTTAATAGTTTTACTTAACAATAACGATACTGGGAGTGACTTCCTGCAGGTTACAGCAAGTGACCATCTTTATGAGTGAGTCACTGATTCAATCAATCAATTGATTTGTTCAAAAACACTGAATTCGGTCAGTGATTCGGTCAAGAATGAAACAAGTGACTTTTTGAATTTTAAGCAGCATAGTATACTACTCTACTACTCCATCCATATAAAAATTATTCAAAATATTTTGAGTAGTAGGCTAGTAAGTATTTTGAAATCATCAAATGTTTCAGTGATTCTATATAGAGTCAGTCATTGAATCACTGACTCAACCGATTCATTTAAAAACATTGAATGAAATACCACTACTTAATTCTGCTCAGAGACACGCAATGGTTGTGCTTTTTTGTCTCAAATGTAAGTTACAAAATATTAAATTCTTGTTTATTTAATATATAAAAGCCATTTTATACTTTTATTTTATACTACATTTATACACTAAGAACTCCTTTGCTTGTGTGAAATTTCTTAAATATAGATATGATGTATATGGGGTCACTCTGGTGTGAGTTCTCAGGACGAGATGCCAGCAACATTCAGCTTTCACTGGGACCGAAAGTTGCTGTGTTGACTGCCCCAGTTTCAGAAGTGCTCAATTACGGGGGACAGTTGGGATGGGAACAGGTGTATGTTCACAGCCTGGTTTTACAGTAGACAGGTTGGCTCCCATAGGACATCCCCACTCACCTACTTCCCTCCTACCCTCTGTAGTGAGACGCTATCCCTTTGTGCACTTTCATTAAAAAAAGCTTGTCTTGTAAGATCTTACACTGGTGGGGCAAAACTCAATTTTGATTGGCTTACACTGCTGATTCCAATCCTGCTAAGCACAATAATAATACTAATAAATCAGTGACAGAGGGAAAGCAGTCTCCATAACCGGATGTTTATCTAATGAGTACTGCACTGAGTTTAATGAAAGAGTTTCATATCAGATGGCCTTTTGTGCACCAACTACAAAAAAAGTTGGGAGAAAGTGAAGGTCTTGGCATCTTATTTACGGAAAATGGATTGAACTTTTGTTTCCTATTGGCAACGGTGCCTCTCTGATGTCACGCCAATGGGTCCAGCTAACGTCCACATCAGCCAAATCAGCTTAAACAGAATTTAAAGTGAGGGAAAATGGATCAAAACTATTTTTAACCAATGCGAGAAGAATGAAATAGCGGTGGAGAATGTGAGTCTTGGACCTCTCCATCTCTGTCTCTATTTTTGTGGCACAAGCTAATGATACCATGACTATGATTTAATGAGACATTCTTTGCTTAGATGGCAATTTTAGCCTGTTCCAAGTTCCATCTATGAATACATTTGAGAACAACGGCCAGATTATTGGGTAAAGCAATTGAAGGTTTTGGGCTGAATGATACCACATTTGAATATAGCCACAAAACGGCGGTCGGCCACCAGTCTTGGACACGCTAACTGTTAAAACTCAATGCAATACCCATCAGCCCCAAAAAGGAGGGTACGACAACAAATCTCTTGGCCTTTTCATCCCACTGAGACTTCATGCTGGTCTTGATGCTTTCAACTTGATTCTGGCTTTGCCGCAGCTCACGTGCACTTGGAGGTATCTAACCCATCTACTAGGAGGTCCAAAGTCCTTTCGGGAAACATTTTAACAATGCATAATAGAGAAGAGAAAAGATGTGGAAGGTGTCAATCCATGAAATTAACCATATAGAAGCTAGCACCTCAGAAGCTAAGTCAGTTGGGAAATACAGACAAACTCTGATCCATTATCTACATAATTTGTACTACAAACACCATAAAATATTGCAAAATGGTTCATAATCGCAGCTCACGTGCACTTGGAGGAAAAAGCTCTTAAGAGAGACTTTAAAATTAGGAACTCTGGACCCCATCAAATTATTTAAATGGAAAGTGCATGAAAAGCCTTAAAAAAACTTGCAAAAAGTACTAAAATTTGTACTACAAACACCATAAAATATTGCAAAATGGTTCATAATTTTGAGGGCCTAAAGGTGGACATCACTGATGTTCTAAAGTTTGACGTAGCCTTATAAAGCGATACTTACAACTAGACCGCTGAGCAATGTGTTCGGGAAAGATCTGTCCATTATGCAGACTTCACGAGTCATGTGGGGTTAAAGTCATGAGCACTGGGGAATTGTGGGCAGTGGAGGACTAGACTGTTATTTAAAGGAAGAGCAAGAGAAAAATTCTAAAGCCAGCATGGCAAAATGTCAGACAAAAATAGAAAGGGGAAAAAGCAGAGATGATAAAAACAGCCATCTGAAAGGGAAGGCAGCAAATTGCAGCTTCATTTGTTTTATGGTGAATGGTTTTTAATTGAGGCTGGTTTTACCCTCCTGAAGTGCATGGTCAATGAGTTGCTCCTAAAGTAATGAGTCTATGTCTGCTGGACATACTGCTGATGCACCCCAATGCAAAAATTAGCTTGGCAGAGACCCTGCACTTGTTCACTTTTTATTTCGCTCAATATGCCAGCATACACAGAGTCAAAAACAACAGGAAATGACAGACTAAATGCCTGCTTAAAACAGGCAAAAGAGTGAAAAATAACAAGGAAGAGGAGAAATTGGAGGCAAACAGCAATTATTATAAGAGAAAGAAATCTTCAATAATGGGAGGCCATGGTAAAGAAAACACACATACACTAACACTGACAAACATATACTGTAGGATAGTCAATTAGGGTGAGAAACACATAGACACACACATAATATCATGCTGGCAGACGTGGCACACAAACCGCACTTTCTTTCTGAGTCTGACTTGAGCAAGATGGGCCGTTTGAGATGGAGGCTGGATGGCAGAGGCTGGTGGATGGGCAACGGTGATGATGTGCAGAGAGCCGCAAGAGTGATGTCATTTATATTACTCAACATGAGAGGTTAGTTAGAGTGCCTGACAAATCTGACAATCAAAAC